AGTAATGAAGTCTCACCCAAGACAAGACAGCCAATAAGTGGCAGAGCTGTGTGGAGGCCTGGGCCCACTAACCACGGGGCATACTGCCCCCCAGTGTTGGCTAGGAGGAGACTTTGAGTCTGAGTTCATTACTTACAGGCCGGGTGACCACGGACAAGTTATTGAGCCTTGGCCACCGTCCTCATCTGTAAAATGTGGACAGCTGAACTGATGCCAAAAGGCTGTTTCTGAATGAATGAAATGATGTGTGCATAGGACTCACTGTATAGTAAATAGTAAGTTGAGCAATAATGAATGTGAGAAGCAAGGAGTGAATGAATGAGTGGATGCCATTCCCAGAGCCCTGGAGTCAGCCCCGGGTGCTAGAGGAAGGAGGATTCCCCAGGAGGGAAGGCAGGCAGAGACAACGTCTTCCATTGACTCAGGGCCCCCTAGGACCCCCAGAGATGCCCCTGCCCTGGCCTCTGCCAGCCTTCCCGCCCTTTCCACCCTAGATCCCCTTCCCATGTCAGGGCGCATGGGTACTTTGAGCCACCAGACTGCTAGGCAAGCCTCCAGCCTTTTAGAAGCAGGGAGCTTCAAGGTGAAAATCTGAATCCCTTAGAGTCATCCCTGCCTGACGCAGCCCGTGAGTCTGGGACAAAGAGGGTCAACGGGTGACAGAAGCCGAGTGAGCTCAGCCCAGGAAGGTCAGGGGCTCCCCCTACGTCATAAGGGCTTCTCTGAGCTCTCAGAGATGAGCCTTGGTGTCCCTGGCTTTCCGGTGGGACTCAGTTCTCCCAGCTCCCAGCTCTCTCCTACTTTCTGATCACTGCACGCATTTCCACATCACACTCATTCATGGAATAATGAGTGACTCCATTCCAGCCGGGTACTTCCCCTTGCACTTCCTAGTGGCTACTGGGGCCACTGAAGCATGCAGTGGGGCACACAGCCTCTGGGTTCTGGCACTGACGCCAAGTAACCCCAAGCGGTGGCAGATCAGGTACCCTCCCAGCAAGGAGGGCAGGGCGGGTGAGTCTTCTTTTAGTCCTTCCTTTATTTTCCCCTTAACACAGGAAAGTCACTTTTGTTCTTGTGATTATAGAATAATATCTCAAGTTGAAAAAAAAATTCAAACACCGCAGACGCAGCTGAAAAAGACAGCAGAACAATCACTTGTAAAGTGCGTTGTGTACCCTTCAGTCAGTGCAGATGTAAAATATCTTCACCCAAGCAGGACCGGAACATTCCACAGTGAGTGATTTGGAAAGTTGCCACTTCCACCCACTGTTATGTGACCACAAGCAAGTTCTACTCCATCACTGACGCTTCAGTTTCCTCACCTGTAAAATGAGGATTTGGATATAGTATCTACTTCTAAGGTTATTAAGAATTAAGTGGGACTTCTCTAGTGGTACACTGGATAAGAATCTGCCTGCTGTTGCATGGACATCGGTTTGATCCCTGATCCAGGAAGATTCCACATCTGAGGAACAGCTAAACCGATGCACCACAACTATTGAGCCTGTGCTCGAGCGCCCGAGCCTGAGCTCCCAAGCCCATGTGTCCCAAAGCCTGTGCCCGGCAATGAGAGGAGGAAGCCACCTCGAGCCATGAGAAGCCCGAGGACTGCTACGAAGAGCAGTCCTCACTTGCCAAAACTGGAGAAAGACTGCACATAGCAATGAAAACCCAGCAGCCAAAAAATAATAATAATAATAATTTTTTAATTGGCGAAGGAAATGGCAACCCACTACAGTATTCTTGCCTGGGAAATCCCATGGATAGAGGAGCCTGGTGGGCTACAGTCCATGGGGTTGCAAAGAGTCAGACATGACTGAGTGATTGACACTTTCACTTTCCTTCCACTTAATGAGCTACTATTACCTTTGACATTTTTACAGCAAATATGTTCAAAGGCCTTTTATATACTCATAAAACTACCTTCACAATAGAAGCTGCAGGACTTCTTGGTGGCACAATGGACAGGAATCCACCTAACAATGCAGGGGACACAGGTTTGATCCCTGGTCCAGGAAGATCCCATAAGCCGTGGAGCAAGTAAGCCTGTGTGCTACAAGTACTGAGCCCACACCTAGAGCCTGTGCTCTGCGGGAGAAGCCACCGCAGTGAGAAGCCTGCACATCACAACTCAGGAGTAGACCCCACCCTTTGCAACTAGAGAAAGTATGTGCAGTGAAACCCAGTGAAACCAAGAAATAAATTCATTTTTTAAAAATCCAGATAAAAAATAAATAAATTTTTTAAATAAAGAATTAAGCACAATAATCTCCACCAAGGCCTTAACTCAGTGCCTGACATACAGTGAGTTCTTTAAGATATTAGGTCCTTCTGTAGCTATTGTCCACCTAACACCTCTTGGGCATCTTCCCAGATGAGCTTGTTAAGATGGAAGCTTCTCACTGAAGAGCCACACGGTTCTCCACTGTGTGGACACAGTGATTTGCCAGGAGTTCCCTCTCCATGGGCATAAGTTTACTTGCTGAGTCTCCTTTGGATGGATATTTACATAGTTTCCAGTTTGGGGGACCACCATACACAATGTGCTTAAGTCTTGTGGCGCTGATCTGCCTCCTTGGGGTAAATTCTCAGAATTGTTACTGCAGGTAAAAGGGTTAGAATGGACGTCAGGGTGCTAACACCTGGGGCCCCCGGGGCTCAGTCCGTGGACCCCTTCCTTCTGTTTACACTCTTTAAATCCCAGCTATGGATGTCCGCTCTCACGTTACACCCCCAGCTCAGACCCAGTGCCTGGGCTCAGATGCCTGACTGCTGGCCGAGGCTGTGAGCGGTCACCTCAGTGGTAACTTGTGCACGCCCCAACCTGCCCCTCCCGAGGCCTCCTCATCTCAGTGGTCACTCCACCCCACCCGCTTGTTCTCAGGTCACAGACCGTAGAGTCACCTCTGGGTCCCTCTCTCTCCCACCACAGTCACTGTGTTGGTGCGTTTCCACTCTACCTTCAAAATGAACCCAGAATTCGATCCCTTCTCCCCACTTCTCCTGTTCCAACCCTAACATAAGCCATGTCCCCTCTCACTGATACAGCTGTGACTGCCTCTCACCTGCTTCTGCCTTCATCCCTTTCAGTCTATTTCAGCGAGCAGCAGGACAGAGTCCGTTAAAACAAATCAGAGTCCCCTCAAGACTCCTCATCTTATTCAGCCCTGCTCCCCGACCTGACCCTCAGTTTAGTGATGATCTGACGCCTTCTGCTCTGATCGCCTTCCTGCCCACTCCGCTCCGGCCACACTGACCTCCCCACTGTTCTCTGCAAGCACCAGGCAGGCTCTCACCACAGGACCTTTGCACTTGCTGTTCACTCCACCTGGAATGCTCTCTCCCCGCTACCTGTGTGCTGCTCACCCTTTCTTCTTTCCTTGAGTTTGTTTTTCAGACACTGACCTCTCAGTGAAGCCTCCCTTGATTTTCCTTTAAAAATGGACACACATGCATCCCGGTACCCCCTGCTCCTTACCTTACTCATTTTGTTCTCTCACCAGAATGACTAACCGTCCTGGTTTGCCTGGAACTGAGAGGTTTCCTGAGACTTAAGGTTTTCAGTTTTAAAACTAGGCAAGTCTGGATGGTTTGTCACTCGTTACATCTATTATGTTCTACATTTTATTAATATGTACTTGTTTTGTTGAATAAGAACATAAACTCCATGAAGGCAGAAATTTTGTCTCCTTCGTTGCTGTACCCTGGTATAGGAATGCATTGGCTCAAAAAGATGCTCAACAAATACTTGTTGAATGAAGGAATAAACTTACAGCCAGGCCAGGCTGGTCCCAGAGAGATGGTGCCAAGTAGGTTTTCTTGGGCTTTAAAAAATACCCTAAAGGGACTTCCCTGGTACTCCAGGAGTTAAGATTCCATGATTCCTCAACAGGGGCTGCGAGTTTGAGTCCTGGTTGGGGAACTAAGATCCCATGTGCCATGTGACTCAACCAAGAAAATTTAAAAATACCCTACAGAAGGGAAGGGGCCTCAGATTGTGGAGGGAGGCCAGGAGCAAACTGCTGGGCAAAGATCTATGACTGGTCTGCTTCTCGTGTCAGGGCCCAGGCTAGGGCCCCTGGATGTGGGTTGCTGGTCACTGCCACCCCATGGTGGTCTCTTAGGAAAAAGGAGCCTATCCCACCCTCTAGAGGGATGGAGATGCTCCCCTGACTTCCCCTCCAGCTCCTATTACTGTCTCCCCCCATTTTCTTCACTCTTTTCCCCACTTCTCTGCTCGGCCAACTGCTCTGCTACCTGATGGATGGAGCTTTCCCCTTAGTGCACTGTGTTAAAACCTGGCTCCTACATCCACCAGCTGGGGGGACCTTGAGCACTGACTAACTCTCTCTAAGACGCAGTGTCCTCATCTGGAAAATGGGGATTGTATGTCCTGAGAGTAAAGTGAGATGATCCACATAAAGCAATGAGAACGGTACCTGCCTCAGTAGGTGTTTGATATTCATCACCATTATTACTCTCATGCCTGGCACTCAGCAGTTCGCTCGCTTTCTCCTTTATCCAGGTAATCCCAGGCTGTATATCGGACTCGTGGGGGACTTCCTAAAACATCCACATGCCTCCCCATCCCAGACCAGTCAAGTCAGAAATCTTTGGCGAAGGATACCGGCACTGGTATTTTTTGAATTTTTAACTTATTTTTATCTTTATTTTTCTGTCCGTTCATGCACAGCCTGGGCTGAGAATCACCTTGGTGACCAACAGTCATGGGTTACCTGGGACTTTCCTAGTTTTAGAACTGAAAGTCCCACATCCCAGGAACCCCCTCGGCCCTGGTTAAGCTGGGATATGCTTCTTCACCCCCTCCCCAGAGGAACGGACCCATGTTTTTGGAATCTCAAATCGGGACACACGGGCTGAAGACAGAAGACTGCAGATTGATTCTTTGAAAGCTCAGCTGGGGGTGGCAGGTCAGCCGCAGCCTCAGCCCGCAGGCAGGAGTGGGGCTCTGCGGAGGAGAGGGGCTGGCACGTGGCTCAGTCAGACAGGTCCTTGTCACCGGACTCCACAGGGCTCCAGCCGCTGGCCGCCCGCTCCATGGCCTTCACCCAGCGGCCCTTCAGCTCCTCGCTTTCGGCTTTGAAGGTGTAGAGCTGGCCTGACTGCTGCAGTTGGAAGACCCGGGCGTCTGCCTGGGGCCCAGCGGTCACCTGGTAGCCCAGCAGGGGGATGGAGGTGTGGGCCCGCATGTCCTGGGGGTGGAGACGAGGGAGGGAGGGGCGGCTGTGACCACTGCCGCAGACAGCCCTTTGGAGGGTTCCAGCCACACACCCGCCTCTTGCCCCCCCAAACACCCACGCAGTGGGGTGGGCTGGCAGGAGGGGCCTCAAAGAAGACTGGTCGTCCCCTGAGCCAAAACCATCATGGCTTGGAGTCTGGGCCCAGCTCTGAATGCTGCTGACCCTGTGTCTCAAGGGAACCAGGGCCTCACGGAGCCTCAGTTTCCTCATCTGACTTATGGGGCCAGCAGGACTCACCCCCACCCCCCTGCCGACAGACACACGTGCTGCAAGGAGGGGCAGGGAGTGGCATTACCTGAGGGGCAGCATAGATGTAGAGCACAAGGGGGTCATCCCGGGGGATGGCACACCAGCCCCGGGACCCGCTCTTGCCCCACTTGTCCCCCAGGAGCTGCAGAAAGCTGCATATGAGGCTCTGCTCAGACCCCGCCACGGCTCCTTTCTGAAACCAGAGAGAGGGACCGTCAGGGAGCACGGCTTCCACTACCTGATGTCGGCCATCAGAAAGCACTCTTTCTAAACCTTAACGGCAACCCCACCAAAGGAGATGCTATTTGTCCCTGAGGCTCCGAGAGGTCCCATCAGAGACTTGTAGTCACATGGCTGGCCAGTGGCAGAGCTGCAGTCAAACCCCAGCCAGCCTGAGTTTGGGGCAGGGGCTGGAGGGCGTATCCCCTGCAAGTCACCCCCAGGAAGCAGATCAGGAGCCTGGCAAGGGGCAGAGACCGTTCCTCCTTTCCAGGAGCAAGCTATGTGGACCAATGGTCAGGGAAGGTGTGGGCAGGGTCTGGGCCTAAAAGAATGGGGGAGGGTCAGAAAGCAGGCAGATGTGGTGGAAAGGATCACTTGAACCTGGGAGCTGAATTCAGGTGGAATAGGCTGGGGTCTTCTCCCACCTCTCAAGGACAGTGGGATGTCAACCTGGCTTTAATGAGGTGGGGCAGTGCAGAGGGTGGTGGTAGTGACCAGTGGCTGGACTGGGGACCACTGTATGTGTAGCATGAAGCTGGATACAGCTAGTGCCCCAGAGGTGGGAGCAGCCTGGGGAGCCCCAAAGGCAGCAGACACTACCCGTGGCACAGATCAGAGACCTGGCTCCTAAGTCACCATGTGACCTTGGGTGAGTCACTTCTCTGGGCCTGGGTCTCCCTGGGATAGAACCAGCCGGTCCCTGAAGTCCCTTCCAACTAGAATGGGGTCTCCAGTCTGCCTCTTCCCTGCAGTGGGACCCTGAGCCTCAATCTCCCCATCTGTAAAATGGGATCAGCAGCAGCAGCTCTCTTCACCTCCTGGGATTGCTGGGGCATGGGGCTGAGAACAGGAGTGCTCCAGGGGGTTGTGGGCTCACTGGATGGGGAGGCAGGGGAGGGGCAGGGAGCCCAGGTGACAGCCTGGAGCCAGAAGTTGCTTCCATTTGGTGACAGGCCCGGCTCTGCTTTATTTGGCGGGGGTAGGGGATGTTAGCGGGTGTGTTGGGGGGTGTCCCTGGGCAGAGAGAAGGAGGGGGCTAGTTCTTCAGCGCCGAGGGCAGCGCCAGCTCTGGGGAGGCCCTGCACACGTTTGCTGAGCGGAGGCAGCCGACCCTCACCTCCAGGATGCCCCGTCTCTTGTCCTCCTTTTCCTCAGGGAGCACGTTTCCCGTGAGGAAGGTGTAGCAGTCCAAGCAGACTCGGTTGGGCCTGTTGGCATCGTACTTGAGCTCCGCCCGGTAGTCCGAGCACCTGGCACACACCACCTGGGGAGGACAGGCAGGAGGGGCTTAGATGCGGTTTGTGCCTCGGCCCGGGAGCTGGGGACGTGAGAGCCGCAGGGACCCGGGAAGAACAGGCTTCAGGGGAGAGATGGAGACAGAGCGGGGCCTCCCCTGTCCTCACAGCCACCTGGCGGGGGTAGGTGGGGTGGCGCTCAGGCTCCAGGGCCCCCAGCTGGGGGGCTTGAGACATGGGCCCCTCTGAAGGAGCTCAGCCTCTCTCTGCACGGTCCCCTTTGTGGGGGCAGCTCCTGATCCCGGGGCCTTGACCAGCACTCACCCCTTGCGTCTCATCACTTCTCTGAATACTCTCTCTTTCCCTTCTGCCATCCCACCTGACTTCCTGTGCCCCCAGCAAGGGACCAGCCTTGGGACTTTTACCCTCACTTTGCAATGAGGGGGCAGTGACTTGGCAAGGGCCACACCGCTCACGGGTAGCAGCCAGCCCTCCTCACGTGGAACGTGCCTTTGCAGTCCAGGCTTTGCGATCCACTCAATCTTAGAGTCAAGCGTGTTCTGATGCAAAAATGGTGGGCTGGCAGTTTTTGCCGGGAAGACCTGACATGTGAAGTCTGTGGAGGGGGGCCCGTCCCCCAGCCCACCACCGAGTCGCCCCCAAGAAGGCCGCGGCAGATCTGGGGTGACCGCGTGAAAGAGGCATGAGAAGACCTGGGGAGAAACACAGGCATGGCAGGATGCAACTTCCAGGAAGACTGGGGTGTCACAGTGAGTCCAGGAAGTGGGACTGGAAATGGGGGCAAGAGAGCAAGCCTAGGAGGAAGGGTAGCTCATCAGGGAGCCCGCCTGGGTGCCCAGCACAGCATGTGGCCTGGGAGGGACCCGTAGGAGAGGGCCTGGGCTTGCCCCACCCTCACCAGGATTCCCGTCTGGCAGGCAGGGAGGCAGAAACTGGGCACCCAACCACCGAAAGGATGACTCACAGAGTACAAAGGTTTGCACGGGCACGAGAAACCCCAGAATCGGGCCAAGGGTGTCTCACAAAGCTCTACACACAGGGCTTCAGCTGCCTTGGGAATATTTAACTTGATTTTTTTTTTTTTAAATGAGATTTAATTTTTTTAAAACATTATTAGAAACTTTTTATTTTCTTCTGTCTCCTCTACCAACTTTTTATTTTCAAAAATTTCAAACCTGAAGACAAGTTGAAAGAATAATACAGCGATACCCCCACCACCAGATTCAGGGACTGTGAACATGTATTGCCACGTTTGATGTCTCCCTCTCTCCCTCTCTCTCTCCCTCACTCTATATTTCTTTCTGAACCGTTGAGGTTACAATCATCGTGTGTCTTGTCACTCTTAAATACGTAGCTTGTAGCTCCTAAGAACAAGGACATTCTCCCTAGCCACAACATCATGATCATACTCAGGAAATTTAATATCAACAGAGTCTTATTAACAATATGTGCTTCATAAGCAAATATCCCTCAATGATCCCAACAACGACTCCTGTATCTGGTTCTGTCTTTTCCCATCCAGGATTCAATCAAGGATCATATATTTCATTCAGTTCTCAGAATACTTTATTTCTTCCTCACACCTGGAAGGCAGGTACACGGGTGTCGCTATATCGTTCTTTCGGCCTCTCGGTATTTCTTAACTATTGTAAATAGCTTATAAGAAATGACTTACAAAGTTACAAGTGTGAGCGAACTTGATTCATTTACTGATGTGACTCACCCAGAAGGGAAGTTCATCCCCCAGATCCTGTCTGTTTGGCTCTGGGATGGAACTCACATCTGAACACAGGTGTGTCCCAGTCCTGGAAATTTACTTTTGTCCTCATTGCAGCTTTACACATTCTGGGGACACCTCCCTGACTGGCCCCAACCTGCCCAGCTGTTCTCCTCCTGTTTCCCCCTCCCCCCGAGGTCATTAAAGGGCTCCCCTTGTTTGCGGAGTGAATGGAGAAGGTTGTAATGTCAACAGAGAACAGCTCAAGTGCAGCAGGTGCTTAAAAAGCAAAGCAAGATCTGCCTCTGATAACGGCCTGAGCCGATGAGAAGACGGAGGAGTGGCCCGGTTCCTTCCTCCATCAGCTGGCGGCTGCTCCTCTGAATGGTGCTGCCCCGGCGACTAGGAAGGGGAAGGGAAGGAGGACCAGGAGAGGGAAGGGGTGAACCTTCCTTTGCTGAGGTCTCACTACCGCCCAGGTATTCTTGATTCCCATTCTACAGGTGAGGAAACTGAGGCCTGAACATGGCAGGCAGAGTTAGCTCCAGAATGAGTAGGTGCTGGAGTGAGTGCTGAGGATCCGCCCAAGAAGAGGAGGGGACAGTTAGCTGAGGTAGGTCAAGAAGAGTGGATGGGGTGGGGGGGGAGTTGTGTAACAGGCCTAGGGCTGATGAGCAGGTGGGTTCAAGGCCTGCAAGGGGCTGAAGAGTCTGACACTGGAGACTGTTCCCTGGTCCTGGGCCCTGGGGTCTTGGGAAACGGTGGTAAGGAAGCAGGTGAATGAATAGGGTTGGCTCTGGAGAATGTCTTGAACTGGTGGCTTTAACCTGCCTGAGCCTCAGGGCCCAACTGCAGAAAGGGGATTAGGGGTTGGGGGAGACCTGCTTCACAAATGGACATGTGAGGTCCGAACGAGGTAATGCACACGTCTGGCCGGGTTAGTGCCCAGCACTTCTGCACCCGCTGAAGCGGACAGGGTGGGCAGGGAGGGGAGGGCAGGGCCCGGGCTGGCAGATGGGGGCCGGTGGGTACTCACGTAGCCACAGGCCCGGCAGTGGTGGCGGCGGCGCGTCAGGGCGTTGAAGGGCTCCTGGCAGCGCATGCACATGGTCACCATCTTGTCCCGCACCCACTGGGGCGCCCGGAGGCCCAGCTCCACGGACTGCAGCTGTGGGGCAGCAGGGTGGGCACTTCAGGACCCCCTGCCCACCTCCCCGCGTCCCTGGGCCCTTTGCCCACTGACTTGTGGCAGAGTGCCTGCAGGCTGTGCCTCCCAGCGGCTCCCACATGAAGGGGAACAAATGGATGAAGAGCACACTTGGGGGAGGTCAATCTTTCCACGTCCTACATTATAAGTGAGGAAACTGAGGCCAGAGAGGTCAAAGGACCCAGTAAAGACTACCCATCAGGCCACGTTCAGAGCTCAGAGCTGAAATAGTCAGAGACGCTCTCCATAACTGCCACCCCACCTGCCTTCCACTTTCCCTTGGTCTAGCGTTTTTCAGGCACTTTCAGAACCCCAACCTGCACGCGCGCGAACACACACACACACACACACCCCACCCCCCACAGGCAGAGTTATACTTATAGACCTGAAATCCTTCCTGGGAGCAGCTGCACAAAGAGGCTCCCATGGGACTTTCTTGCTAATGAGGGAGTCTTTGGCACTGAGTTTCTATGAGTAGGGCGATGCTGGGGTGTGGGGCTTCCCCTGATCCCTCCGGATCATTTGTGATGGGTGACATGCCCCCGCCCTCCAAGCTGCCTAGGTAGAGCCAAGAGAGGGAATCAGTCCTGTGTGAGGTTGAAATACAGAGCCCGCATTTACCTCCTGCTCTTGGGGGTCTGCCTCAGGGCTCTGGACTGCAGCCTTGAAGGTTTCATTCCGCTTCTCGATTTGGTCAATGGCAGCTTGGCAGGCCTGGTGCGGGGTGGGTGTGGGGGGTGCAGGGCAAAAGGAGGTGGTTGAGGGGGAGGCAGAAGGGCCTTGCTCATCTGTGAATCCATCCACACATTCAACAAGCACTGCTAAAAGCCTGTTGGGTGCTGGGCACAACATTCCAAGCATACAGTGTCTGATTAAAGGGAGGAGAAACTATTTGGTCACCTGATGCAAAGAGCCAACTCATTGGAAAAGACCCTGATGCTGGGAAAGATTGAAGACAGAAGGAGAAGGGGACGACAGAGGATGAGATGGTTGGATGGCATCACTGACCCGTTGGACATGAGTTTGAGTAAACTCTGGGAGATAGTGAGGGGCAGGGAGGCCTGGTGTGCAGCAGCCCATGGGGTTGCAAAGAGTCGGACACGACTGAGCAGCTGAACATACAACAGATGTGAAAACTGAGGCTCAGAGATGATAAATGACTTGTCCCAGGCCATTCAGCGGCAAGATTTGAAACTGTCTGACACCTACAACTACTACAGAGCTGAGGAAGAGCAGGTGGGTGCGTGTGCTCCCACACGCGCACACACACACACACACACACGCACTCAGGACCCCACCCTCCCCCCCAGTCACAACCCTAGGGGCCCTGGAGCTTTTGTTCTGATACCTGCAACCAGGAGATCATTTCCTCCTGGGACCTACTCAGAAAGAGAACACAGGTGTTGAGGGGAGCGGCCCCTCCCAGTTTTCCCGTCTCTCCCCGCCCCTGGGCCCCCTGCCTACCGGGCTCGAAGCTCCAGGGTTCGCTGCTTCCCGGACACCAGGAAGGAGTGGGGGAACTCTGCGTCAGTCAGCTCTCGAACCTGCTCGGAATCCGAGGGAGAGGCTCAGAATCCCGCCCGCGCCCCCAGGTACTGTGGTGGGGAGGGAGGAGAATCACACCCCAGGGACAATTCAAACAGAGAGACAAGGATGGGGAGCTTGTTCAGTGGCTCCCCATTCCATCCAGCCCAGCAAAGGTGCCCCGAGCTGGCCTCGATCTACAGAGGAGATGGGACCTGAGGCTCCTGGAACTTCAGCAGATAAGCCTGTCCCGGGGAGGCAGGGGTGACAGCTCCGGACAAAGGGGTCACCAAGATGGAAACTGGCTCACACGCTGGGTTTGGGAACACGGCTTTTCCAAGAGCAGACGTAGGGCCTAGGATGAGACCCTCTGCCCCATATCATGAACGAAGGACTTGATCAACCAGCTCGATAGATCCGACAGATCCCCACCTCCTGCCTTCCACCATCCTCATCCCAGAACTCTGCAGGTTCCAAGGTCACTGTGAAGGCTGCCGGTCACAGAGCGCTTCGCTGAGCACCCACACGTGTTCTCATTTAATGGGCACAACCGCTGAACCCACTGATCAGTTCTAACACTTAACAGCCACCACGTATCCCTGAGGGCACTGCCTGTCACCGGCTGCAGTTCTCGGGCACAGCCGAACCCGTGTTCATCTACCAGTTTCCAGGAAACATGGGGGACCGTGGGACTCACTGAATGATACCACTAGGGTGCAGTCAGCAAAATCCAGACTGAGAGCCACTCTGCCAGAGAAACGATCTGATTTCCAATTAATAAATCAGAGAAAAGTAGGAGAGGGAAGTATGATAGATAAAAGGGCATGTAAGAAGCATATCACAAATGATTCACACAGATTAGCTGTGAGAAGGCAATTATGAAACAGCCAAGGAAAACCAGGGGATCTTACTGTTATTAAATAAGTATCATTAACTTGTTAGATGTAATCATGGTACTGTTGGCATCTTTTAGGGCAAAACAAAAAAAAAAAAAAAAGAAAAGAGTTCTTGGGCCTTCACTGGCGGTACAGTCTGAGTTTCCACTGCAGGGGGCAAGGGTGGCTGGGAAACTAATATCCCACATGCAGCATGGAATGGCCAAAAAATAAAATAAAATAACTTAAAAAAAAAAGAGTTACTGTCTCTTACAGAGACATACTGAAGTATTTATAGGTGAGATGATTATGTGTCTGAGATTTGCTCTTAAATAATCCATTGGAAAAGGGGACTAGAAGGGGGGTTGCTGAAGAAACCAGTTTTGAGTTGACAATCATCATAACCAGGTGATGAGTATATGAGGTACCATTTTCTTCCCTTAAAAATGTCCATAATAAACAGTGAAACAAAATCTTCACATAAATCTTGAGAGGCAGACATTATCAGCCTCATCTGGGAGATGAGGAAATGGAAATCAGAGAGAGCAAGAGACCTGCTTGAGGGCACACAGCATCTAAAGAGCAGAATGAAGATTCAAACTCAGGGGTTTGGTCCTCACGGGTAATGTAAAAACACATCTCTTTCTACCATACCCCAGAGCCCAGTAAGCACAGATGTCTCCCAGGCCGTGTGAAGATATGGTCATGAAAGGAAGTGAAGACACAGACCTGGAGCCCAAGGGCCTAGCATGGAGGAACGTGAACCCATCTAACACTTGGCCCCTCTGCCAGCTCCCTGCCTCAAGGTGAGCAGGCCTTGGCACCCTTTCAGGCAGCCCACCACACCCGCGAGAGCATGACTTGCTCACATGAGGCCTGGTCTACCCGTTGGGCCCACAGAACCTGTCCGTTCCCTCAAAAGGGGCTGGATGTGATCTGCTCTTGATACCCTTGATAATGCGGAGGCTCAAAGGGTCTATATCAGGAATCTGGCAAGACTCCATGCCTGACTGGGGGAGAGAGAGGGGAGAGGGACAAGAAGGGAGAAATCTACGGTCTGGAGGCCAGAGCTAGGAAGAAACATGATGCTTTTCAAAGAAAAGGGGAACTGGGGAGATCCCTGACCTGAGGGACCACCTCTGCAGGGGTGCAGGATGCAGGTTTCTGGAGGACAGTTCCCTGAGCTGGGCTGTGCCCAGGCTCAACCACCAGACTTGGCTGTCAGGTCCCTGCCAGCCCATGCAGCGCCTTTGTGCTAATTAGAAAAAGACACCCCTTCCTCAAAACACTTTACTGACATCTGTTGGCAAACTGGTGAAATAGTCAAGAGCCTGGTTTGCTGAACCAGAGACTTGACTGCCATCTGCCGGACAATGAGAACCGTTCACATACAACCTGTGCTGTCTGCTGTGGCCGCAGAGTGCGCATCTAAGCTGGGGGGTGCTCGTGCAGTGCACAACCTGCACAGTTGTCCATGGAGACGCAGTTGCCTTGGGTCCATGAGTACCCAAGGGCCCATACCCCTTCCTTCTTCCCAGGCTGGCCCTGTGCAGAATGGCGCAAAGATAGGACCCAGGCAGACCGCGAGGAGAAGGGGACGACAGAGGATGAGATGGTTGGATGGCATCACCGACTCGATGAACATGAGTCTGAGTAAACTCCAGGAGCTGGTGATGGACAGGGAGGCCTGGTGTGCTGCGGTCCATGGGGTCACAGAGTCCGACACATGACTGAGCGACCGAACTGAACGGAGAGCCTGGGGGGTGGGAATCAGCTGCTGAGATCCAGGGCTCCCTGACACTCAGTAAGGAGGGGGACCAGGGGGTTATGGGCCAGTGGGAGCCATCACGGTGGCCAAAGACCAGACCTGCCTCCAAACCTCAGGCTCAGAAGATGCTTCCTGTAGAAACGCAGCTGGGTGGACAGCTCTGCATCCTCCAGACCCATGCCACCCAGGAGGGGGCGCTGTGTGACCAACGGAGCACCAGACGCGCCCTGCAGTGACTGTTCGCCCAGACTAGCAGACGCCAGGAACCCCATGCGCACATCCTGAGCTCAGACACTCTAGGGAATGTATTTATGGATTTCCTCTTTATGACTCTGTTTTGGTCTCTATATTTCTTGGCTTTTCTGTCAACCTTTGCCTCTTTTTCTACGCCTGGGTCTCTGCCAGTCCTAAGACAGGGCTGCCAGTCTCCAATTTCTGTCTGTAACTCTCCATAACCTGCCTTTCTCAGGCTCGCCCACCATGGCTCCCAGATGTTCAGGCTCATGCCCGCTCTGACCTGTGGGATATTCTGGCCACTGCAGTAAGAGAAGCTGGATAAGACAGAGTAGGGGGCTGCATTCCCCAAAGACCTCAGTCTGCTGAGGCATGGGGGATGGGCTGGGAACCCCCAGAAGCTACCCATGTCCTGCCATCACCCTCAGGCTACACCCCACCCCAAATGCCAGGCAAGCCGAGTCAGGAGCAGGGGCAAGACCCTCCTGCAGGGGCTCTCAGAGCTCAGGAGGTCTCCAGGAGCAGAAGTGTCCTGCCTTCAGCTCCCTCCCGGGGAAAATCCTGGGAGATGTCGTGTGGGGGTAAGGAGGGGGAAGGGGAGATGGAAAGGTACTAAGATGGGCCAGATCTGACTTCTGTTTCTTCCAGCCCCGGCCACCGGGACTTAGGAGCCATCAGAGAGAGGGTGGCCAAGAGGATTTTCTTCCCATTTCCTCCACTATGCCTACAATTCCACCCTATGCTTTATCCCTCTGGGTTGAAGCCTTAATAGGAGACAGTATAGTATGCTGGTTAGATACAGAGGCTCAGACTCTGTTATACCTGGGCTTGATCATGCAAACGAGGATTTGCTGAGTGATCTCCAAGCAAGTTACTTAACCTTTCTGAAAGTGAAAGTTGCTCAGTTGTGTCCAACTCTTTGCGACCCTATGGACTATACAGTCCATGGGATTCTCCAGGCCAGAATACTGGAGTGGGTAAGCCTTTACCACTGAGCCAGCTCTTTACCAGCTGAGCCACAAGGAAGCACAAGAATACTAGAGTGGGTAGCCTATCCCTTCTCCAGCAGAATTTCCTGACCCAGGAATCGAACCAGGGTCTCCTGCATTGCAGGCAGATTGTTTACCAACTGAGCTATCAGGAAAGCTCTAACCTTTCTGCGTCTTGTGTTTTTTTTTTTTTCAATCAGATTTTAGGTTCACAGCAAAACTGAGAGGAAGGTACAGAGATTTCCCATATACCCCCTCTGCCCATACATGCACAACCTCCTCCATTAATAACACTTCCACACCAGAATGGTACATTTGTTAGAATGAATGAACCTATCATTATTACCCAAGATTCATAGTTTATATCAGGCTTCACTCTTGGTGTTGTGCATTATGTAGGTTTGGATAAATGTATAATAACTGATATCTACCATTACATAGACAGAGAAGTCCACGGGGTGGCAAAGAGCCGGACACCACTTAGCAACTAAACAACAACAACCATTATAGCACCTACAAAGTAGTTTCACTGCCTTTAAAATCCTCTGTGTTCATCCCTCCCTTCCCCTAACCCCTAATAACTACTGATCCTCTCACTGTCTCCACCCAGAGACAGAATGCCTTTTCCAGGATGTCATACCATTGGAATCATACAGTAGATGTACACCCTATGTATACATGTAGCCTTTTTAGATTGGCTTCTTTCACTTAGTAACATGAATTTAAGTTTCCTCCATGTCTTTTCATGGCTTTATAGCTCACTCCTTCTTATCACTGAATAATATTTCACTAGCTGGATGTATCACTTTCCTTATTTTTGAAAATGGGATTAACTACAGATATCCTCAGACTGTACACAGTTATTTACTGCAGTCTCATTTGCAGACACAAGCAGCTGAAAACAATCTAAACGTCCATCAGTAGTGGACTGGTTGAACAAATTATGGTACATCCACACACTAGGACACTATGCATCTATGTAAAAGGATGAGGAAGCTCCAAACGAACTAACTTCTAACCATCTCCAGAATAAGTAGCTAGTTTAAAAAGTCCAGCACAGAATAGTGTATGCGACAAACAGTCTCACTGTTTATGTTAAACACAAGTAAGGATGCCATAATGAATAGACTACCTCTGGAAGGCCTCACAAGGAGCAAAGGCTGCCTCTAGGAAGGAGAACTCAGGGATGGAGTGCCTATATGTGCAATACACGTTGCATATATTTTTTATATAGTGTGATTTTGGAATGTGTATTATTTACATTTTTAGGTAATAAAATTATTTTTTAAGATTTTTTTAAAAACTAAAAAAATGCAGGGGATAATAACAGCCCCTACATCCCAGGGCTGTTATGAGGGTCCAATGGGATGATGCAGGGCCTAACCCACAGGGACCACTCAGTCAGCAGGCACCATTATGGGCTGCTGTCTCTGCTCATTCGTGGACATCTCCGGATGTGGACACATCCAAGTTGGCCACTGAGCTGTGGAGACCCTTCCTACTCAAAGCTGCAATACTGGCATCTGCCAGGAGCTGCTCAGAAATGCAGAATCTCTGACCCCACACCAGACCTACTGAATCAGAACCCATTATTTTAACAAGACTCCCAGGGGATTCATGCAGTCATAAAGGTTTCAAAGCCCTGGTGTAGATGGTAGGGAAAGCAAAGTGAAGCTGGGCGCTGGGAAGGGCCCTGGACAGGAAGGCTGGGAGCTCGGGTGGGAGAGATCTAAGCCCCATCTCTTTCACCTTCACATCGCCCCAGACCTGCTGCACCTGGGTTCCTGGACTGAGTTGCCGGTCGGCCCCTCCTGCTGCTCGGACCCTGGGGGTGAAGCCCTCTCACCTTCATGCCGGCCACATCGATGCGGGTCCTGACCTGGAAGTGGGCGCCCACCTGGATGACCCTGGGCACGCAATACAGCAGCATGTTGTTGAACTGCGGGAGACACGAGCGCAGGCGTGTGTGCACAGCGGCGGGGGCAGCAAGGATAGGCGGGCGGGCTTTGCCGCACGTGGGCTGAGCCCCCGGGCCTCCCTCCCCTCTCACCACGCGCTGGGCCAGCTCACAGGACAACACGAGCGTGATGAGCAAGGGGCGCTCTAGCCCCACTCCATCTGGGGTGCTCACCGAGGGTCTGCCCGACCTGTGGACTTCAGGGGACCACGGCAGGCTTTGGAGACCTACGAGGCCTTTCTCACGGGGGTCAATGGTGGCAGAGGCTTATGAGAGATTGTAGCTCCCTCCCCCAACCTCCAGGTGGGACCAGCTTCCAGATCTCCAGGAGACCCCTTGGCTTCCTCACTGCAAACCGGGGCAGTTCTTCCTAGCAGCTAACCTAATGCCCTCCTGATGTGTACGCTCTTGGCTTCCCTGGTGGCACAGTGGTAAAGAATCTGCCTGCCAACACAGGAGACGCGAGTTCAATCACTGGGTCAGGAAGATCCCCTGGAGAAGGACATGGCAACCCACTCCAGTATTCTTGCCTGGAAAATCCCATGGACAGAGGAGCCTGATGGGCTACACAGTCCACGGGGTCACGAAACAGTTGGACATGACTTAACGACTCAACAGCAACAGCCTGCCCGCTCTAGAGCACAGATTGATACCAGAGGTTTTGGAGTCAAACAGACTGGGTTCAGCTTCTGACTCTGTGGCTTCCTAGGACATGCCTGGGAACCCCCTTAGCTGGAAATCCCTGAGGCTTGGAGGCAGCATGTGATTTGTCCCAAGTCACCAGGCGCCAAAGCCATAAAGATAGGGAAGCAGGCTTGTCCCTGCTCTCCTGCAGTGCCGGCCAGGAAGGTGCCAGGCAGGCAGGACCTGGGGCAGAGGGCCCATGCCTATGGACGCCCCTCCCCAGTGTGGAGTGAGCCAGCCCCCAAGCACCGCCCTACCAAGAAAAGGTAGCGCTCCATGGGGCCGCTGCGGCGGAAGGAGATCTTGAGGACGGGGCCCTCGCGGAGCAGGGTGTTGGAGGGGTCAACTATATCGTCCTCCAGGCCCAGGCGCTGGTACACTTCCCACAGTTCCTGCAGCCGCTCCTGGGGGCGGGAGGGCCACCCTCAGCCAAGGTCAAGCCAGACCCTGCCTGCTCCTGGAAGGCTGGCCTCGCGTGGGCAGAGATGGGGAGTGGGGAGGAGGGCCGCAGGGGGCTGGGTGTCATGGGCAGGGTCAGAGGAGAGGCAGACACAGAGATCTGGCTGGGCTAGCAGGGGCTGAGAGCTGCAGGAGGAGGTGATAGGGCCCCGGGGATGCCCACAGCTCCTTCTCAGAGGATTGGGGCGCTCACCATTTCAGTGATGGCTGCGTTGGAGTGCTGAGCAGCAGAGAAGATCATGTCAAGGGCTTCTGAAAAGGGGGCAGGGTTGGAGTTACCCCCTGAAAGTATGGGGCTGGTGGCTGAGGCAGGAGGCCGCTGAGGCTCAACCCAGTGGCCTCAGAGCCTGCCCTGAGCACCCCAGGGGCAGCCCTTCCCCTGTAACCTGGAGCATTCAGTGTCTGGATGATGGGGGCCGATTCTCAACCAGGGTGAAGAGACTAGAGGCCCCTGAAAGACAGGACCGAGGTGGCTGGCCTCTGTGATTTTCACTGCCTGCCGTATCCAGGAGTGAGGGCACGGTTTCAAATCCTAGCTCTGCTTCTTTTAGGCTGTGTGACTTTGAGCAAGTCACTTAACCTCTCTGGGCCTTAGTGTCTGTAGGGAAAAAAATGACTAATGCTATAGACAATGTCTATGAAGTACAACAGTCAACACTGATGGTTGATGGTCATCAAAACCATCTTTAGCAGGTGCTCCATAAATTAGGGGAGTGGCTCCAGCCTTCCCAGAGCCCCCCTGACCCACCCCCCCCCCGATTCACTGGGGGTGTCCTCACTCTGGGCATCAGCCAGGTCTGGGGCCTGGCCTGGCAGCTTCTGGACATACTCCTTGAGCAGCAGCTCGTAGCGTGGGATTCTCTGCACAGGTTCCAGCATGTGGTGCTGCAGGGTCAGGCTAGCTGAGGCCTCGCTGCTCTTGGGGAGGGAAGGGAGAAGAGGGGGCGTCAAAGGGGGAAGGGGTGGCTCAGGCTGCCCCTGAGGATCGGGGGAGCGGGCAGGGCTGTGGAAGCCGCTGAGCTGGCAAAGTGCCCCAAATTGCTTGGGGAACTGGAGCCACCGCAGGCTAGGGGCAGCCGTGCAGGGCTCTACCCCGCGCCCACCCCAGCCTCACCTGGATGCGGGTGATAACCTCCTGGAAGGGTGCAGATTTGTCTGTCCAGGTGGCCAGCAGCTCGATGGCTCTCTCAAAGTTCTTGACATACTCACTGTACATCTTCAGGAAGGGCGCCAGCTTCTGGATCACATCGCCGATGCGGGGGGTGGTGGTCCTGCCGGAGGGGCACCAGGTACTGCCCTCAGTCTGGGGATCTCTTCTCTTGACTCCACACAGGGTCAGGAGAGGTGAGGCTCCCCTTAACCCCCCCGCAACGCAGCCTTTCTGCGGCACTCCTGGGCGCAGGTATGGGGTGGGGTGGGCACACCTGGGCACAGGTGTGGTTCACTCTTCCTTAGACTGTGGGCCCCCAGAGGGCAGATGCTGACCTCTCCTATGGATGGAATTCCCCTAAAGGCCCAGCACAAGCTCAGGCCCACAACAGGTGTTCAATAACCACCTGATGCTTGTTCTCATAACAATAACAAGGGCCACATGCCCAGCACTGCCCGAGACACGCTGCATGCCTCATCTCATTTAATTCTTACAACCCTGCACGGGGCAGGAAGGACAGACAGTCAGTGGCCCATCTTAGAGAGGAGGAAATCCAGGCTAAGAGAGGTAAGGAAAGGTCATTCAACCCTGGAGTTGTTACAGTAGAGCGTCAGTGATCTGGACCTGGCCTGCCTGAGTCTGATTTCCAACCGCACCACCTACTCCAGCTACGTGTTCTTGGGCCAGTCACCTAGCCTCACTATACCTCAGCTTTCCCATCTGAAAAAACTGGGCATGATGGTAGGCAACCTTACAGGGTTGTCTTTTTGGGAAAAAATTATTGAAAAAAATGTTGATCGATCATAAATTAAAAAGAATATAATAATGAACCCTTATAGATCCATCAGGTTCCCTGGGGACTCAGATGGTAAAGAATCTGCCTGCAGTTTGAGAGACCTGGGTTCGATCCCTGGGTGGGAAAGATCCCCTAGAGAAGAGGATGGCTACCCACTCCAGTATTCTTGCCTGGAGAATTCCAAGGACAGAAGAGTCTGGTGGATGACAGTCCATGGGGTTGCAAAGAGTCAGACACGACTGAGCATCTAATGCTAACTATAGATACATCACAGGATTTAACAATTACTAAGATTCTGAAGCTGAAACTCCAATACTTTGGCCACCTGATGCGAAGGACTGACTCGTTTGAAAAGACCCTGATGCTGGGAAAGATCGAAGGTGGGAGGAGAAGGGGACGACAGAGGATGAGATGGTTGCATGGCATCACGGACTCAATGGACATGAGTTTGAGTAAACTCCAGAAATTGGTGATGGACAGGGAGGCCTGGCGTGCTGCAGTCCATGGGGTCACAAAGAGTTGGACATGACTGAATGACTGAGCTGAACTGAACTGAAAGATTCTTTTTTGCCAAGAAATTTTAAAGGACATGCCAGACATCATGGCATTTCTTTGGCAAGATACTAATTTCACCACTAAATACTTTCGTGGGTATCTCTGAAAGCATAGAGGGTTTCTGGCCTAACCACAAGGCCATTAGGACACAGTGAGCTAATGTGAAGACTAAGCAAGTTAATAGGTGTGAAACCCAAGGCAAGGCAAGTAGGAAATCTTCAGTTAGCGCTGGCAGCTTCCACTGCCTCCTAAGTCACTCAGCCTGGTGAGGACCTGATCCATCCCCTTCTCCAGAACACACACACACACACACACACACACACACACACACGCACATGACTCATTCAAGCCCTTCACTGTGCAGACAGAGCAAGCCCAGAGGAGTAGAGTAATGGCCACATAACAAGGGCAGAGACCTAACAGGCCAAACGCAGTGTCCTGGAGGCTGCACCCCGACTTGGCCAGGGCTGTAGTCAGGGGGCCCCAGGGGCTCCTGCTGAACCTTACCAGTCGTCCAGCCGCCGCTGCAGCTCTGGGAGGAAGAACTGCGAGTGGAACTGGTAGATGGAGGAGATGTTGGAGAAGATGAGCCTGACCACATCCTCAGGGAAGGCCTTGCTGCTTCGGGCCTCCTTCAGCAGCTCCTGGAAGAAGACCTGTAGCCGCCGCTGGGTCACTGAGCCTGTGGCAGAGAAGGAGCCCCCCACCCCTGACACCAGCTCGGGGGTGACAAGCACAGTCCTGGGGGCTTCGGGGATCCCTCCCCACCCAGCTTCCAGAACACTTCCGCCTCCTTAACCTCCCATCATCCTCAAAAAACCCTGGGAAGAGAGACAAGGATTATTCTGGCCACTTTACAGGTGGGCAAACCAAATGACTGGGCCAGAAGCTGGGAGCTGATGAATGCCAGGGATGGGCCCATCTTGTGTCTGTCAAGGCCTTGGACTTCACCAGGCTCAAGATCCCACTTCAGTGATTCAACCTTCTTGCCTTAGAGCTCCTGAAGACAGTGTGAAGGGCTAAGAATGGTGAGGATGCTGGGAGCTGGGGTGATAGATGAGGATGCTGTGTGGGGCCTGGAAGGACCTGCTGGCATGGTCTCCACTCCTATGACACCAGCCTAGGTACCAAGGGTGGAATCAGGAGCAGTGCTAATGAGCTGTATCCTGGTTTCTGCCCGAACTTCAGTCATCAGTTAAAGGGCTAAGGCTTCCTAGGATCAGACCTGAGGTCCTAACTCTCAGCTCTTATGAGGTGGGCCAGAAGGGAGAGCAGGGGTAGGGTGCTGACACCCAGGTGCCAAGGAGTGGAAGGGGGGTGTTCTGGCCACTGGCCTGGTCCAGCAGGTGGAGGCGTGCCACGTAGGCCTGCTCAGTCTCCAGCAGCTCCCGGACAATCTTCTTCTCCTCAGGCTCCTGCGGGGAAGTTGGGGGGAGGAGGAGGAGAGCTTTGGTCTCCTCTGATGAGAGCAGTATCCAAAGATACCCCAGTGAGCATAGCTCCCAAGACTCATCCCATGCTGCAGGTGGATCTGAGTTGGTGCTGGGATTGAGAGAATGGAACAGAACGAGGCTGTGCCTAAGCTTTAAGAGGCCTGGAAGCTTCCACCTGCGCTCTCTTGGGAGCCATGAACTACCATATCTAGAGGCCTAGCTGCCCTGAGGGAGAGCCACAGGGAGAGGAGAGGCCCTGGGACCTCATGCACAGGAAGCCAGGGGCCCAGCCATGTCAGCATCCCAGAGGAGCAAGCTTTCCAGCTGTCCCTGCCCAGGCACTAGGCTTGGGAGATGAGCTATCATGGGCATTCCTGCCTCAGCCAAGATCTGACTTCAGACGTGTGGGAGCCCTTGTTATGGACTAAATTGTGTCCCCAAGTTAATATGTTGAAGCCCTAACCTCCCATGTGACTATATTTAGTAATTAAGTTAACTGATGCAGAGGGTGGGGCCCTAACCCATCAGGACTGGTGCCCCTATAAGAAGAGGGAGGGACACCAGGAAAGCATGTGTAGGAGAAAAGGTCATGTGAGGACACAGTGAGATGGCCATCTACAAGCCAGGAAGGGAGCCTTGCCAGAAATCAACCCTGCCAGCACCTTGACCTTGGATGTCCAGTCTTCAGAGCTGTGGGAAAATGTATTTCTGTTGTTTAAGTCACCTGTGCATGCTAAGTTGCTTCAGTCATGTCCGACTCTTTGTGACCCCATGGACTGTAGCCCACCAAGCTCCTCTGTCCATGGGATTCTCCAGGCAAGAATATTGAAGGAGGGTTGCCATTTCCTTCTCCAGGGGATCTTCCTGACCTTAGGGATCGAACTCACATCTCTTACATCTCCTGCATTGGCGGGTGGGTTCTTTACCACCAGCACCACCTGGGAAGCTCTTTAAGTCACCTATGTGCTATGCTTAGTTCCTAAGTCGTGTCCGATTCTGTGACTGCATGGACTATAGCCTGCCAGGCTCCTCTGTCCATGGGAATTCTCCAGGCAAGAATACTAGAGTGGGTTGCCATGCCCTACTCTGGGGATCTTCCCAACCCAGGGATTGAACCCAGGTCTCCCTCATTGCAGGTGCATTCTTTACCGTTTCAGCCACCAAGAAACCCAAGAATACTGGAGTGGGTAGCCTATCCCTTCTTCAGGGGATCTTCCCAACCCAGGAATCAAACCAGGGTCTCTTGCATTACAGGTGGATTCTTTACCAACTGAGCTACCAGGGAAGCCCTGAAGTCACCTAGGCTGTTCTATTTTGTTACAGCAGCCCGAGCTAAGTGAAACCAATCCCAAGTGAGGCCAATAGAAAACCTATCCAATAACATTCCAATCAACCCACAAAACTGTCAGAAACAGCAAGCTGTTTGGCCACTACATTTTGGGGTAGTTTGTTACATAGCAAATGATAACCAATATACACAGTATGTACCCCTGTGATCACATCTCCATTTTCTCAATGAGGAAACAAGTATAACAGGGTTGCAGAGACTTGCCCAAGGTCACACAGTGAGCCGAAGGGCTGGGACGTGAACCCTGGTGGTCTGGCTCCAGGGTGCAGAGCGTCCTGCAGCCGAACCCTTCAACCCCATAGACAAGAAAACTGAAGCCCAGAAAAGGGAGGAGAGCTACCCAGAGCCAGCCTCAGGGCGGGAATCAGTGCTGACCTCTATTTTTAGCTGGCAGTGTTGCCTCCTTCAGTGGGTGACCTGAGGCCACGCCTGAGAGGGAACCAGGTCCCAAGCTGAGTGTTCTTGGACAAGTTCCTTAGGCTGTCTGAATTTCAATCTCCATGCCTTAAAGACTCCTACAGGACTTCCCAGGCGGTTACGAATCCGCCTGCCAATGCAGGGGACATAGGTTCAATCCCTGATCCGGGAAGATTCCACATGCCTGGAGCAACTAAGCTTGTGCACCACAACTACTGAAGCCCATGTACCTGGAGCCTGAGATCCACAACAGAGTGCTAATTTCTCTGCAACTAGAGAAAGCCTGTGCATGGCAACAAAAGCCCAGCACAGCCAAAAGTAAATAAATGCATAATAAAAATAAATATATAAATAATTAAAAATTTAAAAAGACTCCCTCAGTCAGGGGTATGAGAAATAATGTCAGCAGCAGGTTGCCCAGTAGGCACTTAATCAAAGGCCATTAAGGGTGGGGGGTGGGCAGTGTGAATCTAGCTTTCAGCTCATCTCTGGACACAGAAGACCCCACCCACCCCCGGGAAGACTTGGCTCTGGCTGGGAGAGAATGCGTGGGGAGGAGATCAGAGGATGGCCCCCCAGCACCCCACTTCTCCCCCAGCCCCCCGGCACCTGCGTCCCTGGGCCGGGGCAGGTCCCGGGCTGGTAAGACTTCCTCCAGGCCCCGCTGCACAGCTTGTTCTTCAGGGAGCTCAGGTACCTCCTGCTGACCATCCTGGACCCGGAGCCCAGGGCCTCCTCCACGGTGGGCTTCTCCCAGGGCCCTGCGGGTGTAGGAGACCTGCACCCAGGCTGCTGACGCCCGGCCTCCGGGCCGTGGACTCTGGGCACTGCTCCTGTCGTCCTGAGGAGAAGAGAACAGTCAAGAGTAGGGAGAAGAGCTGCACCTCTCTGGTGGGGATTTGGGGGCAATTAAGGCAAATGCGAAGAGCCAACTCATTGGAAAAGACCCTGATGCTGGGGAAGATCGAGGGCAGGAGGAGAAAGGGGCGACAGACGGTGAGATGGTTGGATAGCATCACCGACTCAATGGACAGGAGTTTGAGCAAACTCTGGGCGACAGTGAAGGACGGGAAAGCTTGGCGTGCTGCACTCTACAGGGTCGCGGAGTCGGAAATGACTTAGTGGCTGAAAAACAGCAATGCAAATCAGAGATGTTCACTGGCCTCTGAGTGTCTGGCACACAGAAGGAATTGACAGAGATGTCTACTTCTCTCCCGAACACCTTTCTTGGAGGGAACCCTAGTCTTCAAAATGAGTCAGTGAAGACTGTGTCTTGTTTTCCGGGGAACTACACACTTCCCTGTTTAAAATGCAGTGAGGAACCCTTCCTTCTGCATATAGAGGATTTTTTTTAACCTTTTATTTTGTATTGGCGTATAGCCGATGAACAATGTTGTGATAATTTCAGGTAGACAGCAAAGGGACTCAGCCATACATAGACATGTATCCATTCTCCCCCAAACTCCCCTTCCATCCAGGCTGCCACATAACATTGAGCAGAGTTCCTTGTGCTATGCAGTAGGTCTTTGTTGGTTATCTATTTTAAATACAGCGGTGTGAAGGAAACCAGTTCTGAAAGAGACACGTGTACCCCAATGTTCATCGCAGCACTGTTTATCATAGCCAGGACATGGAAGCAACCTAGATGCCCATCAGCAGACGAATGGATAAGGAAGCTGTGGTACATATACACCATGGAATATTACTCAGCCATTAAAAAGAATTCATTTCAATCAGTTCTAATGAGATGGATGAAACTGGAGCCCATTATGCAGAGTGAAGTAAGCCAGAAAGATAAAGACCATTACAGTATACTAACACATATATATGGAATTTAGAAAGATGGTAATGATAAGCCTATGTGCAAAACAGAAAAAGAGACACAGATGTATAGAACAGACTTTTGGACTCTGTGGGAGAAGGCGAGGGTGGGATGTTTCAAGAGAACAGCATCGAAACATGTATATTATCTAGGGTGAAACAGATCACCAGCCCAGGTTGGATGCATGAGACAAGTGCTCGGGCCTGGTGCACTGGGAAGGCCCAGAGGGATCGGGTGGAGAGGGAGGTGGGAGGGGGGACCGGGATGGGGAATACATGTAAATCCATGGCTGATTCATGTCAATGTATGACAAAACCCACTACAATATTGTAAAGTAATTAGCCTCCAACTAATAAAATAAAAAATAAATAAATACAGCGGTGTGTATGTTTCGATCCCAAACTCCCTAACTCTCTCTTCCCCTCGCCCTTCCCCACGGCAACGATAAATTCATTCTCTGTGAATCTGTTTCTGTTTTGTAGATAAGTTCATTTGTATCATTTCTTTTCAGATTTTGCATATAAGGGGTGTCATACAACATATCTCCTTCTCTGTCTGACTTACTTCACTTAGTTGCACATAGAAGATTTTATGTACCCTCCCAGATCACCCTGGGCCTCACCCCTGGTTTTAGTCTCTCTAGAGCAGGAAATCCCCTAAAGCCCTAGTAACTGATACATTGAGGGAAGAGTAGGAGCCATGGAACACTCTAAAGGGAGGGTAGAGCTGATAAAGCTGGACTTTTCAGTGGGACCCTAAAAGACGATGCTGTGAAAGTGCTGCACTCAGTATGCCAGCAAATTTGGGAAACTCAGCAGTGGCCACAGGACTGGAAAAGGTCAGTTTTCATTCCAATCCCTAAGAAAGGCAATGCCAAAGAATGCTCAAACTACTGCACAATTGCACTCATCTCACACACTAGCAAAGTAATGCTCAAAATTCTCCCAGTCAGACTTTAACAATTTGTGAACCGTGAACTTCCAGATGTTCAAGCTGGTTTTAGAAAAGGCAGAAGAACCAGAGATCAAATTGCCAACATCCACTGGATCATAGAAAAAGCAAGAGAGTTCCAGAATAACATCTATTTCTGCTTTATTGACTATGCCAAAGCCTTTGACTGTGTGGGTCACAATAAACTGTGGAAAATTGTGAAAGAGATGGGAATACCAGACCACCTGACCTGACTCTTGAGAAATCTGTATGCATGTCAGACATGGAACAACAGACTGCTTCCAAAGAGGAAAAAGTACATCAAGGCCGTATATTGTCACCATGCTTATTTAACTTATGTGCAGAGTACATCATAAGAAAAGCTGGCCTGGATGAAGCACAAGCTGGAATCAATATCAATTGGGGGAAATATCAATAACATCAGATATGCAGATGACACAACCCGTATAGCAGAAAGTGAAGAAGAACTAAAGAGCCTCTTGATGAAAGTGAAAGAGGAGAGTGAAAAGGTTGTCTTAAAGCTTAACATTCAGAAAACAAAGTTCATGGCATGCGGTCCCATCACTTCATGGAAAATTGAGAAACAGTGGAAACAATGGCAGACTTTATTTTTTGGGGCTCCAAAATCACTGTAGATGGTGATTGCAGCCATGAAATAAAAAGACGCTTACTCCTTAGGAGAAAAGTTATGACCAACCTAGACAGCATATTAAAAAGCAGAGACATTAAAAAAAAAAAAGCAGAGACATTACTTTGCCAACAAAGGTCCATCTAGTCAAGGCTTTGGTTTTTCCAGTAGTCATGTAGGGATATGAGAGTTGGACTATAAAGAAAGCTGATCGCCAAAGAATTGATGCTTTTGAACTGTGGTGTTGGAGAAGACTCTTGTGAGTCCCTTGAACTTCAAGGAGAACAACCAGTCCATCCTAAAGGAAATCAGTCCTGAATGTTCATTGGAAGGACTGATGTTGAAGCTGAAACTCCAATACTTTGGCCACCTGATGTGAAGAACTGACTCATCTGAAGACTCTGATGCTGGGAAAGATTGAAGGCAAGAGGAGAAGGGGGCAACAGAGGATCAGATGGTTGGATGGCATCACCAACTTAATGGACATGAGTTTGAGTAAACTCCAGAAGCTGGTGATGGACAGGGAGGCCTGGTGTGCTGCAGTCCATGGGGTCGCAAAGAGTTGGACAAGACTGAGCAACTGAACTGAACTTTCAGTGGGAACTATGCTCTCCACACCTCTCAGTTTAGTTCAGTTCAGTCACTCAGTCATGTCCGACTCTTTGTGACCCCACGGACTACAGCACACCAGGCCTCCCTGTCCATCACCAACTCCCAGAGCTTGCTCAAATTCGTGTCCATCGAGTCGGTGATAAAAAGCCAGTCTAGGGTCAGTTTCCTTCTCCCTCTAGGCACAAGCTTTCATAGTGTAGTTTTCTGATCCTACCTACTGGATCTGCAGACCAGTTAAATTCTTCAGATAACAGAGGCCAGCAGCAAGGGATATATCCAATGACATACATTGTGCCCCGTTCCCCTTGGTGTGGAAAGGCTTGTGGTGACAGTACAGGGTGGGTAGGCACCCTTATAAGAAAGGCAGACAGGGAAACGGAGGACTAGACAGGTACAAAATCTTCCAAGCTCTGTGACAAAGTTCTTCATTACCCCCATTCTGCAACTAGAGAAAGAGAGGATCTTGCAGCAGGAGGGGGAAGAGGTGGGATTCAGACCAGGCTCACTGGCTCCTGAGCCTGAGCCCTAAACTGCCCTTCCCCATGTGAGTCAGGGAGAAATAGGTGCAGAGAGTCAATGTGACTTGCCCCACATCACACACTGGCTGGTGGCAGAGAGAAGATTGTGACCCAGTCCCCTGTGGTTCCTCACTGGCTCTTGCACCCCAACAGCCAGTTCCTCAGCTCCTGGGCCTGCAGCTTATGGAGTTAGCTGAATCTCAGGCTTTCTGTTCTATGTTTGGTTTCAGCTTCTGCATTTCTCCCCCAGCGCCCCAGACCACTTTCTGTTTCCTCTTCACTCCCTCAGTTTCAGATCAGTTAGGGCACTGAAAGACCTCACAAGAAAGCCCAGGCCAAGGCAGCTGGCCTCAGCCCCTCTCGTGAGAGTGAGGGGTGACTCTCACCCTGCTGACGAGACCTCCTCTGATCCCACTGTGGTCAAGGGCTGCCTCCTCCTGCAAGGGATGTTTCCGAGGCAGAGCACATGTGCTAAGGGTCTCCACTGGGCATGCCTGGTGTGTGGAGTGGGGCTGGTGTGATCTCTGCACACCTCAGGGGATGGTGGTCCTGGAAGGTGGCACCTAGAGCTGTCCTTGGTGCTGAACAGAACGTGCTGGCTGAGGCCTCTGGGAGAGGCGGGGTCAGGTCACCTGCTGTGGAAGCTGAACAGCCCTTCTAGGTCCGCATGATGCTGCCTCCACCATGAAGCCCACACAGGAGGCTTTGTCTGCTCTGAGTGCCCTCGGCAGAGTGTCTAGGCCCCTCTCAGGATATCTGTTGGTCATGACCTGGCATCATGGTCATTCCATGAGCTTAGCACCAAAGACAGAAGTCTTCTGGGCAGGGATCATTCTTTAGGCTCCTGCGTCTGCTACAGGTCCCGTGCGATGCTGTGCTGTGCCACCCACACCCCTCAGGACAGAGGCACTCTTCCCCTAGCTGCTAGGGGCACGGTGGCTGAGAGGTTGCTGACTGGGTCCCTCCCTGGGAACTGCCCTCTCTGCAAGAGAGCGGCCTCATATAAGGTCAAGTCCACATCCAATGACTAGTCCATGTGGGGGTACAAAGACCTAGCCCTTTGCCTCGACTGCAACAGCCAGAGGGGCCTCTAACTCCAGAACTCTCTGGAACAGGCTACGTCCTCTGGCAAACGCATGGCAGTTCAACTTTTACTTGTGCCCAGTGCTGCCTCACTTGACCCCAAATCCTCCCCAGTAAACCTCCTGAAGCAAATCTCTTATCCCAGAGTCTATTTCCAGAGAACCCCACCTACAACAGTCACAACCTCTAACACAATCCCGGGCTTAAGAAATGCCTGCAGAGTGGATTAATGTCACACACAGACACACGCTGGGGAAGGCAATGGCACCCCACTACAGTACTCTTGCCTGGAAAATTCCATGGATGGAGGAGCCTGGTAGGCTGCAGTCCATGGGGTCGCTAAGAGTTGGACACGACTGAGAGACTTCACTTTCACTTTTCACTTTCATGCATTGGAGAAGGAAATGGCAGCCCACTCCAGTGTTCTTGCCTGGAGAATCCCAGGGACGGGGGAGCCTGGGGGGCTGCTGTCTATGGGGGTGCACAGAGTCGGACACGACTGAAGAAACTTAACAGTAGCAGCATCAGGCACACGCAATGACTTCCAGCCTGTTCCTTTCAGAAGGAAGCCCCTGCTTTGCCCCTTGCCCATGAACTTAAAACACTTAAACGGCCCCCCACCACCACCTCTCTGTGCCTCCCCTTTCTCACCTATAATATAGGAACAGAGATGGAACCTACCCCTAATAGGCTGATAGATGATTAAATGAAATAAGTAGCAAACACACTCAGAACACTGCGCCATAGATAGGCTGACCACACAATCTGCTTTGCCTGCGATGGTCTCAACCTCTCCTATGGTCCCCTCCCTCCTACCAAAAAGATATAATGGCATCCTCTTTCAGTTTCAGTTGTGTCCTGGTTTGAATGATAAATGGTATGATTATCCTCCTCCTCATAGGGAGTAAGCTCTTGATAAGTATTAGCTACTATTTCTGCTGGAGGGATAGTAGGTGGAGTTCTGCAGCCCAAACAGGGCATCTGGTCCACCCACACTCACACATCTAATTACACATGTCTGGACTCTCTCCAACACACCAACACACATACACTCATCCCGGCCCAAACCTGGTGCCCCAGACACTCTTCCAGGCCCTGAGAAGCCTGTGATGTGGGCACTGTCCAGACAGGAGGTGGGGTCCAGGACAAGGACACTGCTCACTGTCAGGGTTCAAGGCGGCCCCAAGCCTGCTCCTCAGCCAGGAGATTGGGAGGACCTGGGTTTTCCAAGGGCCCAAGGGATGCCAGACAGCCCTGATGACCCTCCCCACCTCTATTAGCCCATACCTGCTCTTCTCAAACACAGTCACCAGACTGGATACAGATGCCAGAGTTTCCTCACTCGCCCCCTCCATCCTGCAGACCTCCAGGGCAGCCCTCAGCTCCCCCTGAAGCAGGGCGGGAGGTCGCCAGCCAGCACACTCAGTCACCCCCACCTGGGGTCAAGGTGGGCTCCAGCATCCTTGGAGAGAGAGCCCTCTCTCCCGAGGGCTCAGCAGACCTGCTCCCTGCTTCAGAGAGAAGAAAGAGGAAATGGTCCCAGAGCCACAGCCCTGAAGGGGAAAGGCCAGGGCTCCCGCAGAGGGAGGAGCCTGTTTGGGCCCCTTCCTTCCCACCACAGATGCTGACCTTTGACTCCTGTAGACCCCTGGTTCCAGAAGCCACTCCAAGGGGGCAACGAGGGGCTAGAGGTGGCTTCCGGAACAGGGCTCCTGGCCTGAGACGCTCACCGCTCTGGCCAGCCACACTTTGCCTCTCACAGGGTTCCCGGGGGATTTTATTTGGTCCTTTCTCCACAACTTCTCTGCATCTGACCCTGTTCACTGCTGTAAGAAAACAGCTTCTTTAAGTAAAAATAAATCACAAGCCTATTAGGGGCAGGCAGAGAGAAGTAATGTGCTGTTCCTTCCTCCTGCCTCCCTGGGCTTCTCTCATTTTAATAACTGCTGTCTCCATTTTCTTGCCCCAGGGGAAGGCAACTTCCTCCCCGAAACTCTGATGTTAATAATAACGAACACATGCTCTTTCTTAGTGCTGTACAACTATTTTCTCATTTAACACCACAACAATCTTATGAGGTGGGCCCTATTACGACCTCCATTTTACAGAAGAAAAAACTGAGGCTCAGAGAGGTTAAGTAACTTGCCCAAAGTCACCCAGGAAGAACACACAAAAAAAGAAGTCAGATTTCTAAAGCAGAGGTCAGTGTCCTACAATTTCAGCAGATTTGGTTGGGAGCCTGGATGACCAATTTTGTTGCTCCATCAGCGGGCTTCCCTGCTCCCAGCCCTCTGGGTGGTCTCTGCCTCTCTCCTTGATGACTTGGCCTCCCAGCCCCTCCAGAACAATGATCTCTGCTTCTCTTCCCCTTATTCAAGTCTCACAGGCCCTTCAGGGTTCTCCCACTGGGTTCTGGTCTCACTTGCCCGGAGCCAGGGCCCTCCACTGAGACTGGTCTTTGTCCTGGAGGGTAGGGACTGAGCCTCAGTCATTCTGGTACCCGAAGCGCCTTGGCAGTTTCATGCTCCAGCGCCTGTGAAACACGGGGGGCTCCCCCCACGCCCAAGAGCTTCCCTCCCTCAGAGTTTCACCTGAGCAATTTCTTCTAGCCGATGCCTTCTCCTCTCATGCCTAAACCTCACTAACTCTCCTCACTTTCTGTTATGGAGAATTTGGAATATATGCAAAAGGAGACAGAATAATATAGCGCACCCCTATGAACTCATAACTCAGACCCAGCAACCATCAACTCATGGTCAGCCTTGTTCCATCTACAGCCACAGTCGCCCTGCCCCTTCCCAGACCAGGTTGAAGTTAATCAGGGGATTTTATCCACAAGTATTTTGGTGTGCTTCTATGATAAAAAGTAAGGAAATATATATACTCACACACAATATATACACTGGGAATATTGCACTATACATGCACACGCTCTTACATGTATTTTATGCATGTTATGCACACGTATCCCTGGAGAGGGAAATGGCATCCCACTCCAGTGTTGTTGCCTGGAGAATCCCATGGATGGAGGAGCCTGGCGGGCTACAGTCCATGGGGTCACAAAGAGTCAGACATGACTGAGGGACTTCACTTCACTTCATGCATATGTATATGCATATGTATACATAGGAAACACTAATGCTATTATATCCCAAGAGATGTGTTGCGTGCTAAGTCACTTCCGTCGTGTCTGACCCTTTGTGACCCCATAGACTGTAGCCCGCCAGGCTCCTCTGTTTTATGGGATTCTCTAAGCAAGTATATTGGAGTGGGTTGCCATGCCCTCCTCCAGGGATCTTCCCGACCCGGGGACTGAACCCGTGTCTCTCATGTGTCCCGTATTGGCAGGTGAGTTCTTCACCACTAGCGCCACCTGGGAAGCCCATCCCAGAAGACAATTTGCAGTAATTCCTCAATATAATCAAATGCCTAGTCAGCAAAGTGCCAATGCCTCACAAATGTCACCTGCTGTGAACTGACTTGTGTCCCCCCTAAATTCACATTTGGAAGCCCTAACTTCCTGGGTGGCTGAAATTGGAAAGAGGGCCTTTACCAGGTAATTAAGGTTAAATGGGGCTTCCCCGGTGGCTCAGCGGTAAAGAACATGCCTGCCAATGCAAGAGACACAGGAGACTCAGGTTTGATCCCTGGGTTGGGAAGATCCCCTAGAGGAGTATTCTTGCCTGGAGAATCCCATGGACAGAGGAGCCTGGCAGGCTATAGTCCATACAGTCGCAGAGTCAGACATGACTGAAGCGACTTAGCACACGCCAAAGTTTAAAGGAGGTCCTAAGAGTGAGGTTGGAATCTGATGGGACTGGTGGCCTTTTAAGAAGGTGAGGAGCTCTCTCTTTCCCCACCCCCACTCCCCCACTCCCACACACACCCCTGCACACTCCCAGGAAAGGCCACCTGAGACTAAGTGATCGTCTTGAAGCTAGAAAAACAATCCTCACCAGAAACAGAACACTGCCAGACCTTGATCTGGGACTTCAAGCCTCCAGAACTGTGAGAAATACATTTCTGTTGTTTTTAAGCTTCTCAGTCTGTGGTATTTTGTTATGGTAGCCTGAACAGACTAACTGATCATCATTTTAAAAAAAAAAAACTAGGATCCTAAGAAGGTCCACATGTTACAATGGGCTGTTGTGTCTATCAACTCTCTTTTCATGCACAGGTTCACCTCCTTCTTTCTGTTTTCTCACACCATTGGACTAGGAAGATGCTGGGTCACTGAGCCTACAGCCCCCACGGTCTGCTGACTGCAGAGCTGGCCCCTGAATCTCCTGTCCCCGTGGTTAGATCTAGGGGCTTGATGGGGAACATATGTAAATACCACTTCTTCCTGGATTCCTCCCACATCTGGGGAGGCCTCCCTCCTTGGTGCTCCTCTCCCCTCCACAGCAGGGCCCAGTTTCCTCCTCTGCCTCCCACCAGACTGTTTGCAGGCTCCTGACAGGCAGGGCCCCGTCCCCAGCAAAGCCCAGTGTCTTGCACACAGTGGAGCTTCGGGAGGCATGCAGGAAGGACAAACGTCACACCCTGAGCCCAGAGGCTTATCTCACCCTTCAGCTGCCAGAGCCTTGGGCTTCCAGAGAAGTGGCTGAACATCTGAACCTGCCCTTCACACCAGGGTGGGGGTGGGGGGGCAGAGTGGGCCGGGGCACTGACAGGAGGCTACACTAAATTGGCCCAACTCCAAACCGGGGCCAGGCACCATCTGAGCTGCCCAAGAGGGAGGATCCAAGATGCCCACATGCCCCTGCCTCCCCCAGATTTTCCAGGGCTCGGCTTCCCTGGTCCTCCCACCTCCCTGACCTCGGCCCATACCACTCTGCCAGGCTTTCTGCCTGACTTGCTTCTTGCCTGCGGGCACCACCCAAGGCTCAGCTTCTGGTCCCCTCATTTACACGCAGCCTCTACCACCCAATTTAGAATCTATCCCAGGGATCCATGGGCATCTCTTCTTGCCTCCCACCCCAGCCCGAGTACGCCCAACACCTTCAGGACATCACCAAGGGCTTGTCCCACCTTTGCTTCCAATTCAACACACAATCTGGAAAACCAGCATGGTGATCACACAGAAATCCCAGACTCCTTGGTGTGCTGCCAAGACCCTCCTGGTTTGGCTCTGGTTGACTTCCCAGTCATTTCTTCCTCATACACAGGTCTGGGTCGCGACCCTGAGTGGCAGTTCTGGGCTGTGCCGGCTGAGCTAAGCTGAACCACGGTCGCAGGATTGCCTTTCCTGTAAGCTGACCATGGAGGCAGGACGGGACACGAGAACCTTGCTCACTCCTGTGGTCGGCGTGGGGCTCCACCACTGCTGCAGCTCACGCATGTTGATGGAGATCTGGGGGTTCTCTATGAGCCTCCTTCAGCTTGTCTAGTCCGGGCCCGGGTGTGTGTGTTTAGCTCCAGGACAAAGGATGCCAACTTCTCCTTTAGGTCACCTGTGTCCCTGAAGTTGCTGTCTTGGCGTGGCTGCCTGTTCATCCTCTAGAGTCTTAGCCCTTTCTCACTGGTTCTTCCTTCTTGTTCCCTGCAACTTCACATCCATCTTCCCTTCCCCACTACTTGTCCTGAGGATTTTGGACTCAGAAGCATCAATTCTTCTTTTTTTAAAAATTATTTATTTGGCTGAGCCGAGTCTTAGCTGTGGCATGTGGGATCTAGTTCCCTGACCAGGGATCAAACCAGAGCAACCTCTATTGGGAACATGAAATCTTAACCACTAGACCACCAGGGAAGTCCCAGCATCAGTGATTTAAGTAGCTGACCCCGTGTTTAAAGTCAAATTCCATATTCTGTTGATCACTTCTGGTTGATCTGCTTCTTTCATCAAATCTGACTTCAACATCTTGGGCCAGTAGTTAAACTTCACTTTCCTCATCTGTGAAATGGGGATATTTATAGTACCGATCTCCTGTGGTTGTTTGTGACTATTAAATAAGATAATACCAGGTGTAAGGGTTTAAGAGTAAGGCCTGGTACAGAGGAGGCGCTCAGTGAATGTTACTCCTGACAGAAGACCTCTTCTATGGCTTCCCCACTTCCCTGCTGCTACTGCTCCTGCTAAGTCGCTTCAGTCGTGCCCGACTCTGTGCGAACCCATTGACGGCAGCCCACTAGGCTCCCCCGTTCCTGGGATTCTCCAGGCAAGGACACTAGAGTGGGTTGCCATTTCCTTCTCCAGTGCATGAAAGTGAAAAGTGAAAGTGAAGTTGCTCAGTCGTGTGTGACTCTTCGCCACCCCATGGACTGCAGCCTACCAGGCTCCTCCATCCATGGGATTTTCCAGGCAAGAGTACTGGAGTGAGCTGCCATTGCCTTCTCTGCCCCACTCCCCTACTCT